CGCGGGCGAGTGCGCCTGCAGCGCGGCGCTGGGCGGCCGGTGGCGCGCGCTCTTCTGGTGGGCGCGCAGGCCGGCCAGCTGCGAGTAGGCGCTCTGGCACACCTGGCACTTGTAGGGGCGCTCGCCCGTGTGCAGGCGCACGTGGTTGCGCAGCGTGGACGACTGGCTGAAGCGGCGGTTGCAGAAGCGACACACGAAGGGCTTGTCCAGCGTGTGGATGCGCATGTGCGAGCGCAGGTTGCTGCGCGAGTTGAAGCCGCGGTGGCAGATGACGCAGCGCATGCGGCCCGCGGTGCCTGCCGCCGAGTCCGCGGGGTGGAAGTCCTCTGGCCGCGCGGGCGGGGCCCGGGGGGGAGAGAGCAGCCTAGTTAGATCCCGCGGCTCAGCACCCGCGCGCCCCGCCCAGGGCCCAGCCCGCCACCGATCGACAGGTGGTTCCTGGGCAAACTGATTGGAGGCGCTGGCAGAGGGATGAGAGGGGCAGCAAAGACCCTGGTTTGAGGTCAAATAGGAGTTGGACTCCATGCTGTGACACCTCGGGGACTTGGTGACTTAGCTTCATTAAATCTCAACTTTCTCGTCTGTAAAATGGGAACATCCTACGACCTCAGGGGGCTATGCACGACTGCACAAAAAGCTGAGGACTGTTGAAGGTTACTCTGTGCTGAGCACTTTGCCTGTCTCAGCCCGTGTGGGAAATGCCTGCCTCAGAGTAGCCTTCGATAAGTGGTAGTAACTATTATAACCCCTCCGCTCTCAAAAATCCTCCTTTCATTTATTCATCCCATGACTATTTACTGAGTGCCCACATGTACCAGGGAACTGCGCCTCACTTTCCTTATCTGGGAAGTGGAGGCATTAACAGCAGCACCCCCATAAGCCTGCTGTAAGGATCAGAGAAATTACTTTGTAAACATTAGCTGCAGAGCAAGGGTTCAGTAAACGGTAGTCCATGAGCCTCAGGTTCATCCTCTAAAAATATGGAAAATCAAATTTCACAAGGGTTTTATGAGGACCCAAGTGGAATGATATCTGTGAAAGGTTTAGCCCAATACTTGGCACGAAACAAGTCTTGAGCAAATGGTCCCCATCCTGATGATCAGCATCCCACCCCAACACATGCAGGGACAGTTGGCCCCACCTTCATTCCACAGGTTTATACTGATCACCTAGTCTGTGCCGGCCCGGCACCAGGGGCAGGGCAGGGAAATGTACCGATTAGCTTAGAGATCATTTTGCCCAACATCTTTCCTTTACAGATGGGGAAACTAAGGCACAGAGCCATTCCCAAGATTGCACAGCAGAGCTGGAACTCAATCCAGGCTCCCACTGCCCGGCCCCTTGCTCCTGCCACACCCCGCTGCCTCTTTGGTGTCCCTACCACCACCACCTGCCCCTGTCTATTCTAGCCAGAAAACAGGAGAACCGCCTTCCACTCACACCCAGGCCATGGTGGTGGCTCCAGGGGCATCGACCACCTTGAACCAGTAGTCCCATGTGCTCGATGCTGCTGGAGGTTGAACCGGGGTCCCCAGAGGCCAGCAACCTCCCTGCCCCTACCCACCCCCCACCACACGCTCTCACACCCTCTCTGGATTCCTTGGGTCCTTTGTCATCCTGGCCTCATGGAGACTACCTACCATGCTTGTTCTTTTTCTGCTCCTCCTCTAGCCCGGGCACCCCGGGGATCCCCAGGAAGGTGTTGTGCGAGTTCCCATACCACACCAGCAGCTCCTGGTCAGGAGGGATCATCTGCCAGGAAGGAGGCAAAAGGAGGTTAGGGAGGCAGCGGCTCCTGGGGTGAATCAGGGCTCTCTGCACATCCCCTCACAGCCAGGAGGCAGCTGTCCTGGCACCTGCCACAGAGATGTGGATCCAGTCTCAGCCCTGAGAAAGCCACGCGTGGGTCCATTTCCACCAAGCCGTCCCCAGCAAGCTGCATGAACACGGAAGACCCTGGGATGCTCTGCCTCTCTGCTCCCCTCTGCCTGCCCAGGCCTTCTTGCCATCCCCGTCCTAGCTCTGCTGCAGGAGCTCCCAAGCTCACAGCAACAGAACGGAAGCCTGGCAGCAAGCAGAAGTAACAGAAGACAGGAAGCTAGAAAACTTTTCCTTTCTCCCCGAGGGGAACCAGAGTCAGCCAGCCCTCAGGCTCACAGGGCTGAGCCAGATGTTCCCTAGGAGTGTGGGCTGCGGGGCTATGGCACTTAGTTACAGCCTGCCTGATGATGTTCTGGAAACACCTCTCATCCAAGGCACCCACAAGGCAGCACCACATCACACATACATCCCCATCACAGGGCTCTGTGTGACTCCATGCACGTGGCAGATGCTAAGAAGAAGTATTCGATTGATGAACTGGGGCACATAGCCTTAAACAAAATCCATTTCACTGTGTCCTGGGTCTACGGCAGAGAACCCCACAAATGGTGCCAGGGCTCTGCTGCACCCAGGGGAGGACCCGCCCCAGGGAAATGGCGAAAGCGGTTGGAAGGGGGGGTTTGCGGTGATGATCCGGGGAGGCTGTGGAAGGCTGCTCCTGAGGCGGCACTGACCGTAAACCCCACACTCTGGGGCAACCCGAGGAGCTCATTGGGCTTTGGTGAAAGCCAGTTACCCTTCCCAAGTGAGGAACCCTCAGGCTCCCGCCAGCTAGAGCAAATGACAGAGGGGACAGCCCATCACCCTTTCTAGGCCTGGATCCCAGAAGAGCTGGTTTTCGCACCTATTTCTGGGGGTCACTTCCTGATCTGCCCAGAGACAGCTGGACATCCCCAGGTAACAGCTGGATTGTTTTCCTGGTGGATTCTCTTTCAGTTGAAGTGCAAAAGATCACATAGGATTCCATCTAGGGGTGTCTGAAATCACGCCAGAATTGGACCCTCTTCCTTGGCTTCCATGGTCACAGGGAAGGCCCCACACCTTCCATTTGGTTCTGGCCTGCAGACCTCTGCCATACTCAGAACCCTTCTGTCCACCACACTTTCCTTCCTCTGGTCAGAGCTAGGAAGACCCTCAGACCATCACAGCAAGCCCTGCTCAACCCTGAAAGGAAAGGGAAACAGAGAGCAGAGGGATAGAGAAGGAAAGTGCGAGGGGGCCCGGCGACTGCCATCCTCCTAAGACTCAGCCTGGGGTCACCTTCCCAACAGACCCCACGGCCCATGGGGATCATGTCAAGCCTCAGGATCAGTGAGTGACGAGAAGCCAGGCAGAGATGCCACGCCAGCTCACACTGATGGGGCTTCAACATGGAAAAGCCTAGTGCAGTCCCTGGACCCAAGGAAAATTAGGCGGTGTCTCAAGGAAAGCAGCCTGATTAGAATCTGGCACCACAGCAAGACTCCTTGAGGCCTTTCTGGTCATTTACAGTCATGGCCGCTGTCCAGGAGGCCAGCGGGGCGGAGCTGGAGGCCCTGCTGGAAAAGGGGCGGGGAGGAGAGAAGTTTTGCGAACCCCTTAGAAAAGAGGATGATGGCACTAAAACATCTAAGATAAATTCATTGTGAAGGAAGCTGCCCCGCCGGAGACGGTGCGACGGGCCATCAGTCACCAGGTGAGCTTAGGCAAGCACTTTGCCTGTCTAAGCTTGTCTCCTCAAGTGAGGCACCTGGGGAGCACGATCCCTGAGGTCCCCCCAACTCTAAGACTCTGATTGTAAGTCACCTCCAACATTGTCCTGACCCCTGGCTTCACTTCTCTGGTGAAACCAGACATTTATACATCACGGTTCTTCCAAAGCAACCAGCCCCCCTCAGACTGTCTGAACAAGCCCCTTCCCTCAGGAGACACGACTGCAGAGGGGTCCAGCTCAGGCTCCGGGGTGACACATGTCGGGGTCCACCCAAGCTCCCCGCCTGCTGAGTGTGCGACCTTGGACAAGTTGCCCTCTGTCACTGGGCCTCAGTTTCCTCAACCGTAAAACAGAGAGAGCGTCATTGCTCCGGCCTAGCTGGGAGCTTGTCTGGGTTCAGCGCGGCCACGCACGTAAAGCTCTCTGCAGCTCCATACACAGGAACGCTTGTTGGTATTTTCTCTGAGCTGGTTGACCTCTCAGAGAGGCTGGCAGCCATCTCTGGTGCATCGAGCCTCCACAGTCGTCCCCACAGAGCCTGCAGTATGGCATGGGGTCGCTGGCATGGTTAAAGCCCGGGTGACCTACGAGAGCACAAGCTGGGCCACATGCCCCAAGGACACCAGCCCCACGCCGGTGCCACTGCTTCCGGCTCCATCTCCCCCAGGAGAGCACAGATGTGGGCTGGGAGGTTCAGCAAGCCCCACCCCGCTGATGTGGCCCTGAGCTACATCCTCACCCCCAGACTCATGGTCTGGGAATCAAATATCTACATCAACACCAGCTTTTTAGTTTTAATTGACAATAGCAATTATTATTAAATATAAAATAAATACAACAACAACAATAATGGTGATGATAATGAGACGAGAATGTCAGGGGTTGCACAAATTCTGAATATTGTTATTCCAAGTGGTTTGGAATATTATTTTTTAAATAAGAGCTTCAATATTGACTGTTTCAGTATAAGAATGATTCATTTGTTTACTAACATATTTTTCAAATGTACTAAAATTAATTCTACTAGTTAATTTAAAAAAAAATTAAAACAGCGATGCAGACACATGGACAAAAATAGACAAAAACACATAAAAAGATACTTAATGAAAAATAACTCTCTCTCCCACTCTGGACACCCAGCCATCGTGGCTGTTTTTCCAAGTGTCCTTCCTCAGAGGGGTTTGTCATTTTGAGACTATTAACCAATGCTGATTTAATTGTGGGGAGCAGCATGACAGGGCAGAGTGACTTGCATTTTCTACATGATGCATCTGATTTTAAAAAAGATAATGAGCACATGTTACTTTCATACAACAAAAAAATATTTTGTAAAGAAAATTTATTAAGAAGAACCTACTGGAATTGAAAATGACACATCCCAACAGCAACTAGAAGGAAGTGCAGCTATGACATACAACTATCTACTGGGGCTTTGGGGGAAAAATAAATAAATAAATAAAATTAAAAAAAAAAAAAAGAAAGAAAATGACACATCCCCAGATGGCAAGAAGCCACCAGCTCTGGAGGCAGCACCAGGGAAGGCAGCCTCACCTGCATGGAGGCTGGAAGTGAGGTCTCTCCGAGCCCTTCAGAGCACTGGGAAGCCAGCAGCATCCCCTGGCCAGGACCTCTGGTCTCTGCCTGTTCCCCGGGCACCCCTCATACAACAATCTCAGAGATCAAGACCAGGAGACCCCTGGAACCTGCAGCCTCTTCCCTGAGAACTATTGTCCAGAGGGTCCCAGGGTCCCGCCAGCTGACCGCCTAAGAGCAAAGCACGGCCACAGTCCCCTGCAGGCCCCCAGTCCCCTCACTAGCACTGTTTCTTTACGGCCAACGCCGGCCTGGCCCAGGCGAGGCTCTGCACTGAGGCTTGGAGAACAAGAATCAGCTGTTCATTCACTTTTCTGGGGAGCAGAGACTGGCTCAGGATACGCAATAATCAAAGCAATTCCCAGAGAAAGGAGACCCGTACCATAAAATCCACATCACCAAGACTCTGGGGGAATATCAGCGCAGGAGTCTTTCATTGACAGATTACATAATCGCTTAGCTGGTGCTTCTTAACCTTCCCTATCAGCCCAGAAATTTTGTCCTGCCCCATTTCTGAATTTTTCTTATAAATTGAAAACGTTTTTGGTTTGTTTGCCTAATATAAATTCATGTCACACTATTGAACACGTTCCCAAGAGGCTCTGATGCCCTCCCCTTTCCCCGGCAGTGCAGAAGCTCTAGTCTAGAAGGATCTTAGTGTCATCTGGACGAATATCAATTTCCTTTGTACCACAGATGTCCCAACATACCAATTAATAGAGTTCCAGCAAGTAGATATCGGCCAGGGAGGCTCCACGGTGTGGTGGCCAAAGGTTCCGCTCTGGGGTCAGACAGGCCTGGATTCAAATCACAGCTCAACAACCTCCCGAGATCTCCTGAACCTTAGTTTCATCTTCATTAAAATGGGGATAGTGATAGAGAGCACCTCACAGGGCTGAGAGGATTTGATTTTTAAAAGTTGCTAAGACCTTTAGCACGGTGTCGGCACACCGTGAGTGCATTATTAATGATGCCTATTATTAATCATCAGAGCACCTTCACTGCACCCATCGAAGAGCAAGATCAAAAGGAAGATGGTGCTTGTCCTCAGAGGGCCAAGAAAACGGGAGATGGGGCTACGGGGCTCTAGAAAAAAAAAAAATAGCTCAATGGCCTGAAAGAAAAGCAACGGGAAGAAAAAGAAGCCCACACTTCAGGGCACAGTAATTTGCCAAAAAATAGGGAGAGGAAAGACTGAGAATTTTCCTCCCAGTTCTCAAATCCAAAGCTTTCATAATTTATTCCTAAATCCTTTTCTTGTGCTCAGTTTTGCAGTCAAAGGTCTTGCTTCCTGGGGCAGCTGGTTTTGTTTTCTTGGAAGACCTGGCTCCACGTGTTCTGACACAGCCCCAACACCTGCAGAAAGACTAATTCATTCAACACTTAGCGCCCACTTGCTATGGGCTAGGCACTTTCTAGAAGTGTCATTTTAGGCACCTGAGGTTCTAGAAAATTCCACCGTGGAGCAAGGAGTGAGCAAGGAGGATGCTCTAGGGGTACCACGCCAGCTGCAAAACCTGCCTGGGTATTCTCCCCTACTGGCTGGCCTTGAAACCCCATCGCCCTCGTCTCTGTTTGAGGGGCTGTTATTTTGTATTTGTGGAAAGTTTAGACCAGCAATAGTATATTCTGCTTGTTGAATAAAGATGTTCCTCACAATTTTTTGGCAAGGAATGGGTTACTGTTATGAAATACAAATAGCAGTTCTGAGTGACAGAAAGATTAAGAAAACAGATCACGGCAAAGGCCCCTCTCCTTGGCTAACTTGCATACAGGCACAGAAAAAACAGCCGATGTATTCCAGAGGCATCCGGGGAGTGACCCAGGGGAGCAGAAATTTCTTCTGGTGGAAGCTAGGAGGGCCACGTAGGCTCTGGCCTCCGCCCTGCTACACGGTGGCCACACACGCTCGGACACAGTTTGTCTGATGAGTGGTTTGAGAAAATTGCCACCATAAAAAAATGTGCCCAACTTCACTTATTAAAAATAAAATGGGCAATATGTTGTGTTTTCTTGTCCCTCACACAAACAGTCCCTTCTTCATAGGCTGGATAACTCTGTAAAGGCATTAACAGCCAAATCGGTGATATCTAGCTGTCAATATCATATATGATACGATATTTTTCTCCTGATCTTCTTTTATCAACTTAAGTTCCTGATCAAATGTAGATGACCTTTTTTTTCAATCTTACAAACCCAGATGCCACCTTGCCCTCTGACTCTGAATTTCTGTATCGTCTATTAATGTTTCCTGACTCTGTTCAGCCTTCAGCCAGTGGGACCCACACAGCGAGATGAGACTCAGGCCCCGTGTCTGCCCCGGCCTGGAATCCTTCTCTCAAAATCACGTAAGCATTCCTGCTCTGTCTCCCGTGTGCGTGCATGTGTCTGAGCAGGAGAGGGTTGTGTGAGTGCGCGCCCCCTTCTCATCTGTATCAGCCGGGAAGCCGTGTCCGAATGTGAAGATGTGTGTGAGGCTGACGGGGTGCGGGGGGGTGCGGATCTGGGAGTGTGCTCTCTGTTAGAAGTGGGGTTCAGCCACACAAGAGGCCGATTCTAGGATGTCTGGTGCGAGCCCTTGCTCCCGCAGGGTGGCAGCCCAGCCAGATGGTCAGAGGAACTGCCTCTGTCCTGGGCCGGGGCCACCTTCAGTGCCACCCTCTCACTGCCCCATGCTGTCCCACCTCACTTGAACCCCAGTCCAGGAGCTGCTCACCTTTTCTTTACCCTCCACTTCCTGGTCGTCTCTGGGTCTACCCCTCAGCTGGAACCCACTCCCTGGCCACACCAGCGCCCAGGCAAAGGCCACTCTGCTGTCATCCCTGGGAGATTCCATGGAACCTGGTTACTGAGGGACAACAGGACCTGTTCCAGAAGCTGCTGGGCCCCAGTGCCCCTCAGGGCTTTAGAAAAACCTGGGACTGAGTCCCAGGGAGAAAATAGACTAAAGGGAAGTCAGTCTCTGGCCCCGGGGGGGGCCTCCTTCAGAACACCCTCAAAACTCAACCAAGCCCAACCCCACCCCACGGGGCCCTGTGCCTCTCCCCACCGGGGAGCAGAAGCATGAGGTCCAGACAAGTGTGGGGGGAACAGCTCCACCACCCCGCACAGCACTCGCCACCAACCTGCTGCAGGGAGACAGGGCAGCTGGCCCCTTCTGGGCCAGACACAGCAAGTTTCCTGCCAAAGGACACTGTCCAGGGAGGGTCCTGACAGTGTGGCCACCTCGGCTACCACCACTTGGCTTGCTCAGCCCCATCAGCCCCTCCCCAAACACCACGAGCTCGTCTGCCTCTGCACAAGCATTTCCCTACCAGGAACGTCTCCTTCTCCCATCCTCCTGAACCTCCTCATGCCTGGGCCTGGCTTAGCTCCCCCCAACCCCTGACCGCGGGAAGTGATATTTATCGTTCTGCTGTCTCTCCCTTTCTCTCTCTTCCGAGAAGCTTCGCCCAGCGCAGGCATTAGTGTTAATATTCCCCCCGACACCCCGCAAGAGCTCCTGAGTCTGCCTGCCGCCAAGTGAGGCCCAGTTTCCTCGTCCGTAAATTGTAGATAATCACAGAATCCTCCCTCGAGGATTAACTACGTGAGGATTAAGTACGATAATGCAGATACAGCGTCTAGGAGAAGGCAGGCACTGCGAGCGATCAGTACGTGATAGCTGAGATTAGAGTTGTGATCCACATGTGCTCAGCGTCCCACGCATGTGGAGGGACAACACACAGCTAAAACGGTGCAGACTCACCCTCTCTCCCACCCAGAAGCTGCCCCGGGGCTGCCTTCCCGTGTCTTGCTCTCTGTACCTCTACGGCTTCTGAACCCCAGAACACCCTGCGTAGATATCCAGGGACCTCACTGTTGTGCTTGTGACATTCCCAATGGCATAAAGTCGAAAGTTCTGTCCTTTCTGATGTACAGCAGAAAGCTTGCCACAGAGGTCAAGCTCCTGAAGACCACGATGCGTGGGCCTCAGCCCTACAGCCTGGGCAGGGCCAGCAGGGCCAGCGTCAATGCCCCTCCTTCCACCACAGTCCCCAGACACTGCTGCCCTGCCCCCCCGCACCCCGGGCTCCCCCTGCTAGCCCCTACATGACAATAGACACACTCACCTCGATGGCCTTGTAGAAGATGCTGGTGCCAATCTGGACGACCTCCAGGTTCTGCTCCTGCTCATTACGTGCACACTTGATGTAGGTCATCCAGCTCCGGTGGTCCTCCTGGCTGGCATCGATGAAGTAGCGCACTGTGCCATCCTCATTGAACACCTGGGCGTGGGTGAATCAGAGACCAAGTGAGGCAGGGCTATGTCACGCGTGCCACCTGTGGCCAGGGCCAGGCCCCATCCCAGGCACATCCACACACAATCTCTTTCCATCCTCACAACAGCCTGGGAAGTGGACATGGCTATTATCATCTCAGTTTTCCAGCTGAGGAAAGGGAAGCTCAGGGCAGTACAGTGACTTGCCTGAGGCCAGCCAGCTAGAAGTGGCCAACAGGGAGTCAGTCCCAGGGCCCCACAGGCTCCTGCTACCATGTCCTCCCATCCCCCGAAGAAAAGGGTTTCCAGTGATCACTGACTGGACAAAGTGGCATCCAGTTAGCTCTCCAGGGATAGAGACGTGCTCCCCGGAGCACTGGAGAGCACTGGCCGGAACCTCGGAGGGGACACAGGAGCCTGGAGAGGGAAGGCTGGCTCACTGTGGCACCGGGGCCTGGCCTAAGCCCCTTAATGGGAGCCACCAAAGGTACTCAGAGATCAAACTGGACCCCAGCCTCCTAACCCAGGAACCAGTGGGGAAGGTAACCTCTGGCCCGGGCCTCCAGGGGAGGGAGGAGGTGAGGTTAGGAGCAGCCTCTGGGCCATCCTCCTGTTCCCTTCCTCCCACTCCTGTGACCAGGGGCAGGATTTGTCACACTGGGCTCCTCCAGGGTCTGCCGGGGGCAGCTGTGGTGGAGAGCTGTGGTGGTGGGCGGGTGGGAGTGAGGAGTAGGGAGAGGGTGTACTAGCCTGGCCTCTGCAAGGTGAGAGCCCCGAGAGGAGGAAGTGCTCTGGGAATGGCTTTGTCCTAAGGGTGGCCCTCCCTGGCATCTGGCATCTGGCACTGTTTTGGGGGAGGAGGGTCAGAAGGCCGGAGATGGAAGCTTCTCTGAGCTTCAGTTTCCTTCTGTAAAATGGGGTTAATAACTCCTAGGGCTGCTGAGATAATCTGCTGGAATGCAGGCCTGGGACTCAGAAAGTTGACTCAGTGCCAATTCATGGATGATCATTTCCAGTATCATTATTCTGCCTCGGTTGAGAAGCCAATTCCCAAGAAGCTCAGGCCCCCTTCATTCTATGTTCCAGCCACCCTCACTGCCAGGCCAGGGGTGGCTTGGAGGGGCTTTCCTTGCTGCTTCTGGGGTAGGGGAAAGAACGCAGGTGGCTGGGAGATGCTCCCAGGGATGACTTCGAAACTCTCCCTGGGCCAGTGACATGGCCCTCTGGGTCTCAGTGCCACTCTGTGAAGTGGAGCCAACAGCAGTCCTGCTCCCTAGGGTTGGCCGAGGAAAGAGGATCAGATGTTTCCCCAGAACCGCCTTTGTGCTGCGCTTTGGGGAGGAACTTCCAGGCATCAGGCAGCGTAGGGTCCCGCCTGAGGGAGCGTCAGGGCCCAGCATCCGCAGTTCCCAGCAGAGGCGCAAGCAAGCGGCGCCTGGCCGCCAGGGTCCCACCCGCAGCCCGCGCCCCTCTCCCCTGCCAGCGCGTACCTCCCACATGAGGTTGTTGTTCTTGCAGATGTCCACATGCTCCGGGGCGATGACGCGGCCCGTGAAAGGGCCCATCTCGGTGCCCGCCTTGATCCAAGTCTTGGAGAAGATGCCGAGGCCCTCGCCGGGGATGGAACTCTGCGCGATGATCACCTCCGCCGGCAGCACCAAGCTAGACAGCTTCTGCACCTCTGCGGGCCGGGCAGGGGGACTGGGTCAGAGCCCGAGGCAGGGGAGACCCGGTTCTTCTCCTCCAGGGACCGGAACCCCGTCCTGCCCGGCCCACCAACCCCAAGCCCGCCCCGCAGTAACTTCGGAAAAGCACTCGGTGTGTGTGCGCCGCGGAGTCGGGGGACCGGGCGGGGCGGGGCCGGGGGCGCTCAGGGACCTGAGTCTCTTCTGTTTGCAACCCGGGGACCTTCTGTGCCCTCGAAAACAAGAGGTGCTTTCGGGCTCATTTCTAGGAGGGTTTTTTAATCTCTCCACGAATTCTCAAAGCATTCACAACCTCCCCTGCTCTCCACCCGGGAAAAGTTTAAGAACTACTGAGCTGACCGCAGTGCGTGGTTTTACAACTGGGTAAACTGAGGCCAGCTCCCACGAGGAGGTGACAGCCAAGCCAAGTCCCGATCTGGGTCCTTCAGCTGGTCATTCGGCGTTCACTTCGCGTCCAGGCACCGAGCACAGGGCACTGTCGGAGGGCCCCAGACGTTGTCATGGACTCTGACTCCTTTTCAGGGTGCGGGGATGCCCCGCGCCCTGGGCGAGCTGGCCGCGCTGGGAACAGACCTCGGGCTGCGAGGCAGCGGAGGCTCAAAAGAAACGCGGGCGGCGGCGGGCAGTATTCTACGCTCTTTGTGTGACCCTGAGTGCGCCTGGGTCCCTCGCTGCCGCCAGGATCCGATGTGCCAAAAGGGGCGGCGCCCGGACTCAGGAGCCCTGAAGTCGCATCTCTGGGCGGAGAAGAGCCCGCAACTCCCGGGGGTCCCCCTGCCGGGCCTGGCAGCCGGGGTGGGAGCGGCGAGGCGCCCAGAGGCGGCCTCCGTGTCTTACAAGGTTCCCCTCTAAGCTACCTGGGAAAATACCCGGCGAGCGGGCAGGCTGAAAGGGGAGGGTTAAACGGTGTCCATTGCAGCTCGGACGGCAATTTGTCACGCTGTTAAAGTGATAGCATTCATTCGGCTCTATTCGAAAGAAATTGCTAATTCTAAATTCATTAGCCCTGGAAGAATGCTGTAGCAGTAAATTGTAGCTCAATGCGGAGGGGACTTGTTTAAAAGGGGCCGAGGAATTCCCCTTACAAAAAGGGGGGATTAGATGGTTGACATAGCGTGAATGGAAGTGGAATTAGTCTGCACGGTAAATTAAGAGAGGAACAGAAATCCTAACGGGGACGAGAGGGCGACGCCAGAGATGCCAGAGCCGGGGAAAGATATTGTTTGCGGGTTGATGAATGAGGAATGAGAACTTGAGACATCTTAAAGAAAAGAAACTTTTCTCGCTCCCTCTTTCTCTCCCTGGCTCTCTCTGCCGCTTTCTCTCCGGCCTGCCCGCCCTCCGCCCCCTCCCCAGCCCCCGCTGCCTTTTAAAGTTCTTGGTTTAAGTGGGAACTTTCGCGGGTCAAGCCCAAGTTAACTAAATGAATTTAAAACCCCTTCTTTTTGAGTCAACTGCTATTACACGCCTAGTAAGGCTTTAAATGCCTGGAACCCGCTGGCTCAAAGGGGTGAGGGGCGGGCAGGGAACGCGAGGGGCAGCGGGGCCCGGCACCCTGGACACCGCCATCCCTTCTCCCAGCCGCGCCTGGTGCAGAGCTCCCCCACCCCCACCGCGCGCCCCACCCCGACTTGGTTGCTTGCGCCCTGGTTCGGCCTCCGGGAAACTGAGGCACATGGAGAGTCTGGAACGCCCAGGTTGGCACGAGCAGCTGCGACGCCCGGTGGCCCCGCCGCGTCCCGCGCGTCGCCGGGCAGGGAATCAGGGGGCGCCGGGAGGAGGGGACCCGACCGGCCTCGACGGCGCGACTCACCGCCCGAGAAGGACTGCGCCAGGACCTCGGCGGTGAAGGCTGTCTTGGGGCTGGCGTGGTGGCTCTTGTCCTCGAAGAGCTGCTCGCCCAACACGTTGCGCCAGCGGCCGTACAGGAAGCTGTGCAGGATGTCGGAGGTGATGACCTCGGCCAGCGCCAACCCCGGCGCCTTTAGCCCTGTCTTGAGCACTAGGGCCTCAGCCGGGAGCACGGAGCCCATCATGGGCGGCCCAGGGCTCGCCGGCGCCGGAAACGGACGGCCGGGCCGACGCGGGGATGTGGCGGGCGAGAGGGGTGCAGAGGAGCGAGAGAAGACGGCTGTGAGGGAGGAGGAGAAGGAAGAGGAGCAGGGGGAGGACGAGGACGCAGGAGGGAGCGGGAGGCGAGGGGGTGGCTGGGAGGAAAGTGGACGAGGGGGAGCGAGGCAGAGAGGAAGAGAGACGGAGAAATCTGCAGAGACGCAGAGGCGGCACGGAGGCTGCAGAGACGGGGCGGAGGCGGAGGCGGTGCGGGGGGTGCGGGGTGGGTGGGAGGCGGGTGGCTGCAGAGAAACGGTGGCGAGGGGCTCTCGGACGCGCGCTCGCCTCTCGCACACCCGGCCCGGACGGTCTTCCCCTTGGCAAAAATCGCACCGCCTTTATAGGAGCCGCGGTGACCCTCCTAATTGGTTATTAATGACCCCCTGACGTCGGAGGACAGACTAGCTGTACCCAGCCGGGCTCGAGGAGCCTTCGCCGCGAGAGCTCAGGGGCGGGGGCGCGAGGGCCGCTCGGAACTGTCCCCCCGGGCTCCTCCTGCCCCTCCCTGGCCCTTCCTCCCCCCTCCTCTTCCTCCTCCTCTCCCCGTGGGAAGCGACGGGCAGGGAGGGGGGCTCAGCCCGCGGGGAGAAGAGGAGGGGACGGTGGAGGGCAGGGGAGCTCGCTCGGGCTTCAGGGACCAGACTTGGCTGGAGGGGACGCCTGGCCTCTGGCCCCGCGGGCCCCGCGCTCACCCACCATCCCAGGCCGGATCTGCGTTCACCATCCCGACCCAGCCAGGCCGGCATTCACTTCCCCTCCGCTCCCTGGCCCTCTCGGCCCGGCCCGGTCCTGCGCTGCCCTCCTCGGCCCCGCTCCGGGCTCTCCGGGGCTCCGGGCCCCAGACTGCGGGCGTCGCCCGAGATCCGGCAGGCCCCGCCCGGGCCGCGCTGATACCCTGCGCAGACGGCGCTGCCGAGGCCGGCGCTTCGCTTCACACGGGCCGTTCCACCTGCCCCGCTTGCTGCCCGCAGCCGGGTGGGAAGCTCATCCCCGGGGGGGAGAGGGCTGCCGGGGCGGGGCTGCGGTCGCCGTCGGGGCTGAGCCCGGCCTGAGACGGCTTCATGAGCAACCAGTTTCTCGACCCTAGAGGGGCTAGGTCGGGGTCGGGAAGAGCGGACCGAAATCCGTACTAGCCGCAGGTCGCTCGGAAAGGGCTTTCCTGCCGGATACAAGGGGGATCGAAAGAGTCCCCGGACCTTCCTGTGTGGGAGCAGCCGTGCCCCAGAGCCAACGCCCTCCGAATCCCCAGGCAGCCCCGGGCCAGGCCGCGGTATGCGCTCTGCTTGAGGCTCCAGCCTCCCGGCTCCTCCGCTCGGCTGCGACTTAGGGAAGCCCGCTGCGTGCTCGCACTCCTTCCTTCTCGCCTCCTCTCTTTCTTTCTCTTCTGGCTTTCTTCTCTCTCTTCCTCCCTACTCTGCTCCCCCACCCCCACCCCACCAGTAGACTTTCCGCCGAGAGGATCCAAGGCACTCGGAGCACCAGCCCCGTTTCTCTCGTCTCTCTCCAGAGACAGGGAGCTGCTGAGCCTGGAGCCAGTGCGGGAAGGCCACAGCTTCCTACAGGCCCTGCTGCCTCCTGGGGTTAGCCTCAAGCCCCCAACTCCAGCCCCAGACACGGGAGGTGGGGGGATGAGGACACCTGCCCCCCCCCCCCGCAATTTCAGATTCGGTTAAGGGAGCCCGGTTTTCTGGACCCTCAGGGCGTGGGTCGGGCTCGCGGGTTAGCTGGAGGCAGGGGACTCCCCAGGCCTTCTCTGCGGCGCTGGGACTTGGGCGGAGGGGCGGGGGCCCCTGCCACCCCACAAGGAGTCACTCTCCTCATGCCCCTTGGCAAAGAGCTCCCTTCACCGCGGGGTCCGGCCTTTGCTGAGCCAGCCTCACACCTGGCAGCCACGGACTCCGGCCCCTGAGCGCCCGGTTCCGGCCAGTAGTCTCCGACATAGCGGGGTCTGCATCGGGGCTAGAGTAAGGAAGGAGGCAACTGCCAGCCTTCAGACCCAGAGGTCCGCCTCGAGGCTGATGCCTGGGAGAGGCTGCACCGGGCGGAAGGCGCGACCGTCGGGCCGGCGCCAGCAGAGGGCAGCCCTGCGGAGGAGCGAGCGCGGCCGCGGGTTAGGCTCCCGGAACCTCCATTCCCTTCCCGAGGCCGCCGGGGAGTCTCACCGGCTCCGGCCTGAGCCGGGGGTTCGCGTCCGAGGGGGCAGACAGAGTCCTGGCACGGGAGCCTCCCCGGCGCCTGGGCCTTGGTTTCTAAGGAGACCTGGTGGAGGGGAAAATGCTCCCGGGGCGGCGGAGACTACGTCGGGGAGCGCCGCCAGGAGCCGCGAGCTCAGTTCCCGAGCCCCGCAGCTAACCTCAGCGCCTCCGGCGCACTTGGGACCGTCCTTCTCCTCTCTGAGCCTCAATGTCCTTGTCTGTGCAACGATTTGGGTCGGATTTTGTGAATTGAGTTTTTCTTCCCGCCTTGTCTCTTTGGGTCAGGTCACTTTCCTCTGAAAGCCCCCATGATTTTGCCAACCCCAGGCCACCCTTCACTGAGAAAAGCCCTCAGGTCTGTGGGTCCCTCCGACCTGGGGCACTGCATTTGGGTCCTGGCCCCCCGCCTCAGAGTCAGAAGGTGAAAGGACCGAGGGCTCAGACCTCGGCCAGGGAGCCCTATTCCTTTCCCCAGGACCCGCAAACCCAGGGAGCGCAGCTGGGGACGGGGCAGAAGCGGAGCCCAGAACAGCCTGGCAGCTCGCGCGCCCGCTGGCCCCGTGCGTCTCCACCGCGCGCTCAAATTTTGTGCTTCTGGTCTATCCGTAAACCCCTGGGAAAGGGGGACCTGTAGAGAGCGTCCAATCTCAGGGCCCATTGGAATTGCGGAGCAAGGCCCCCGCGCGTGCATCTCTCCTCGCTGAGACTGCGAGGGAAAACATTGCAGGTTCCGGGGTTTCTCCGCGGATGAAGCGTGTCGTTTCCCGCGGGGCCCAGGCGCAGAGTGTGCCCGCGCCGAAGCCCCCTCCCCTAGGCCCGGCGGGGCCAGAGCTCGCAGGCGCCGCCCCCCCTCGCGCCCGCAGGCCGCGGTTCCGAGATCTCTTTAATATTCATGGGCGTTAATAGAGAGGCCCCCAGTATATCGGTCCATTGTGGGCGGCTGTACGGCTTGAATAGGCCCCGGCCCCCTTTCTTCGGCGCAGCTTCCCGAGGGGCCGGGCCAGGAGTGAATGGCCCCGCTTCCCGCTCCGCGCCCCCTCCCCTTTCGGGGAGAACATCTTTATCCCCGCCGCCGCCGCCGCCGCCGCCCGGGCCCCCATTCACGCGGCCCGGGCTCCGGGCGGAACGAATCAATCGGCCGCGGCTCTTCGGAGGTCATCCTCGTGGCCCAGGCTCCCCCTTCTCCCCGAGCCCACGGGAGTGGAGAGAGGGAGTCAGCGGCAAGCCGACGGACACACGGACTGAGGGACACTTGGGGAGTGAGGGCTGGGGGGTACCGGGAGGGGTGGCCGGGTCGGGGCAGGTGAAGAGGGACTCGGGGTCCGCGGCCGCCCGGGGCCGGCTGATTGCTACTTGTTGCCCCGAGCAGAGCAGAGCGCGGAGAGAATGGGAGTCACGGCCCAAGCCCGGAGACTTGTCCTGCCTCCCCTAGAGACACCGGCGCGCACCCCTTCGGGCCTGGCAGCCGCAACCTCGAGAGCCAGGGCAGGGGGTGGGGGGCGGCCCAGGGGTCCCCAGGCCCCGCGGCCCGGCCTGCAGGGCACTTTCGTTCTCGCCGGTGCGCCCGAGTCCGAATACTGGGGCGTTCGGAGAGGAGGCCAGGTTCCCGGCTCCCGCGCCCTCGCTCGGCTGCCCTGGCCCCGGTGGAGGGGGGCGCGAGTCGGTCAGGCGGGGACAAGGCGCACGGGACCCCGCCCCTCCAGCCCTGCTGGCCCTCGGAGGCGCAGAAAGGAGCCCATTGTCCGTTGAGAAATACATTTTGGGGGGCCGAGTGAAAGACCGTCTTTCTTTTGAACTCTGGAAGAAAGTCTTCTGCCCTCGCCCCTCGGAGGGAGAGATTTGTCCCCCCTCCCGGGGGCCCCGCGCGCCTCCTCCTCCCGAAACATCTGCCGGGGGAAAATCCACCCTGGAGGGCAGATCGCGCTCGCTCTAAGCCCCGCGAACTCATTAAAAAGATATTAGCGGCGGGGGCAGGTCCTGCGCAGGTATCGATCGGCCGGAATGAGCCCGAGGAAGAAAAGGCAAAGAATTCGGACGCGCCGCGCCCCGGCCCCCTACCTGAGTCCCCCAGCCCCCTGCGCCCCAGCCCCGCGGCGGGAGTGGGGCCCCTGCGCCGTCCGCGCATCCCGCGGTCGGTGCGTCCGGCTGCCTCCCGCGCGTCCTCGCCGCACCCCCGACCCCGCGCAGGGCGCCCCCGCCTCTCCTCGCCCGCACGCGGTCCCGTCTGCTCCCTCCGCTTCCCTCCTCCGCTCCATCGCCGCCGTCGCTCTCCCCATCCCTGCGTCTCTCTTTTCCCCTCTCCGTCTCTCCCTCCTTCCCCGCGCTCTCTCCTCTCTCGCCTGCCCTCCCGCCCCCTCTCGGCTTCCTCCTCCCATTTCTCTCTCCTGATATCTGAGTCTCAGTCTTTCCAGTCCCCATTCCCGCCGTGGCCCAGGGAAAGTCCTTCCTCGCGTGGGACCCGTGTGGCTCCTCCCCGGTTCCCGCAGGACCGCTCAGGGCTCCAGGGCATCCCCGCCGGCGCGTACAAAGGCGCGACGGGCTGCCGCGGTGGGGCGGGGGGCACGGGCCGCAGCAACGGTCTCAATAGACGTGACTCAGCCGGGCCTGCGCGGGGCTGCCGGGCGGAGCGGCGGCCGCGGCGCGGTGAATAGGGACAGCGCCCCTCCCTCGGTCTAATTAGCCTCCGCGGCCCGCAAGAGACAAAGGCGCGCCCCGGGGCGCCCACGTCGAGGCCTCGTCGCAGAGCCGGCGCCCCGGCCGGCAGGTGACCGGCACGCGAGTCTCTC